GGCCATGCCCCTGCAGCAGCTCGGGGGCTGGAGAGAAGGCGGGTGGGAAGCACCGCGCAGGCTGACCGGGACTGCGCGAGTCACTCAGGGCCGGGCTGGGGCAATGCGGCCTGTGTGCGGCCTGCCCCTCCGGTCCCCGTGCAGACGCGCCTCGCGGGCCCCTCCAGGGCTTGCACCGGGGGGCTCTGAGTCTATCGAGCGACCTTGGCCGGTCAGACACAAACCTAGGGCAACTCCCATGAGCAGGGTCACCAACCTTTTTACACCCACATCACTCAGGGCAAGCCAAAATCTACCCCATCCCTTCCCCATGACCCCACCCTCTCCACTCCCCTCCTCTCCATCACTTGCTGTCACCAGCCCTTACTCACTCTCCCTGGGTTGAGACAGGAGGTGCGGCTCTGAAGTGGGAATTAGGGATTTGGGTGTGGGAAGGGGTGAGAGGTGCAAGCTCCGGGACAGATTTTGGGTGCAGGAGGAGGTGGAGAAGGGGATGCTGGCTCAGGGAGGGGGCTCCAGGCTGGGGAGTGTTGGGGTCAGGTGGAGGGTTAGGGTGGGGATGCAGGAGTTTGGGCTGGAGTCTATGAGGGGCTCAGGGCAGGGGGGGTTGGGTGTATGATGGGCTCAGGGCAGGAGGGGATGGGTGTATGATGGGCTCAGGGCACAGGTTTGCAGTGTGTGGATGGTGCAGGAGTATTGTGGCAGAAGACAGGGATGCGGGGGTGCAGGAGTTTGAGGATGTGAGGGGCTCAGGGCAGGGGGTTTAGGTGTGTGATGGGCTCAGGTTTGGGGTCTGGGCGATGCAGGAGTGTTATGATGCTGTGGCCACACGGGGGCTTGGCCCCAGTTGGGGGTTGGTTGGCCAGACTTCATTTTAAAATAAAATATTATGTCACAAAACACAAAACACAAAATGTTTCAGCAATGTCTTTATTTATGGGAGAGGCAGGGAACATGTTTTGGGTCAGGAGCCACAGACCCACAGAAAAATCAGTCAGGGACCACACAAGTGAGATGTAAAAAAACAATCCCTGGTGTTAGTAGGGATCGAGCCAGGGGGCAGAGCAGGGTGCTGGTGGGGGTCTGGACAGGAGGCAGGGTGCTGGATGGTGTCTGGGCAGGGTGCTGGTGGGGGTCTGGCCAGGGGTCTGGAGTAGGGTGCTAGATGGTGTCTGGCCAGGGTGCTGATGGGGATCTGGCCAGGAGGAGGGGGCAGGGTGCTGGATGGTGTCTGGACAGGGGACAGGGTGCTGGTGGGGGGTCTGGACAGGTGGCAGGTGCTTCTCCCTTGCCCACAACAGTGTGAGCTTTCTTGTCTTCCTTTCCTTTCCCGTGCTGCCTGCCTTCCTACAGCAGTGTGATGGTGGGGGGAAGTCCCGCGGCTGTACACCAGAGCTGCCGTCTCAGGCAGTGCCTGCTGTTGTGGGGAAGGGAGAAGTGCACTTCCTGAGATGCCAGATGTGGTGCGCAGCTGCAGGACTTCCCCCCATGCCACAGGAAGCTGGAGCTAGCTCCATTTTTGCAGAGGCTGTAGCGCCAGCCTCCTCATTGGAGACTGGGGGGAGCAAGCGGGGGCTGGGAACACCTCGCGATCGACTGGCCGTGGCCCCACAGTCGACCAGTCAATCACGATTGACCGATTGGTGACCATGGCCCTAGAGGCCAAACAGGGCTGTGCTGAGCCGTGGGCTCCGACCGCTGGCCCAGCCCTTGCACTGAACGACTCAGGGCTGAGTGGGATCTGCCCAGGCTCCTGGCTAGCACCAAGAGACTCCTCTAGCTTCTCCCGGGGGGCTCCTTGTTGCAGATGACAACAGGATGCGGCTCGCAATGTTCGTTATCCCCTCTCTCCTGGCCTCCTGCACGCTGCTGCTGGTGATGCTCATCCTGTGGAAGACATGCCGAAGGGGGCGGGGCACTGAGGGGGAGACCCTTATCTTGCTGGAAGGTAAGGACGTGAGCTCTGCAGCGTGGGGACTCGGCCCCCCTCCTGGCCTTTGCCCATCTCCAGCCCAGTCCTGGGTCTCAGCAAGGTACTCAAGCCCTCCTGGCTCCCTAATGGCTTGTCTGGATCCCTCCAGCAAGGACAGAACCCAGCCAGCTGGTCACACGGCCTCCACTGGGCTAGCAAACAGGAAGGGCTAAAAAGGGGCTGTGCACAACAGCCCCTAGAAATGTGGGCCCCGCCTTTGGAGCAGCTGCTGCTGTGTAATTCAGCTACACAATCCCGCTGAAAGGATGATCAGAGCTTGCAGGCCTTGTGAGTCCGTCCTCAGCTCTGACCACTATGCAACACTTCCTCTGGGTCAGCGATTGGTCCAAGTCAAGGGTGTAAGCTGAACACTCAGCTACAGCACGGTTTGTAGAGGCAGTGCAGCCCGTGTAGCACACTGAAGCGGGAAGCAAAGTCTCCACTGGAGGGTAGCAATTCAGTGGGGTTTCTGTTGCTTTGGCCAGGGAGATGCCACAGCAGCCGGGCTCTCAGGGCTCCTGTGTGGTACCAAGATGAGTTGAGCTCCAGGCCAGACCCATGTCCAGGAACAGCCCCTTGGGCAGTCCAGGCAGAGATCCTGGGGCCTGAATTAGCAGCCAGCCTGGAGGGAGCTCACCAGTGCAGCCAGGGGGCCCAGCTCCACTGAAGGGTACATGTGTCCACCCCTCCTGTAGCCAGGTCCCCTGGGCAGCACCGCTCTGCTGAGCCTCCATGGACATTGCCCCAGGTGCTACCCACAAGAACCACGTAACAGATCCCTGCACGCTAGGGATGGACGCGAGCACACGACCTGGCTTGCCAGGTAGCCAGTCAATACTCGACCACTGTGCTTGCATCTCCCCCTCCTCCCAGGGACCCGGGACAAGCCGGCTGCCCTACGGGGGGCTCAGCCATGGCTCCTCTCTCTGCCCGTCCCATGCACTGGGCTGGCTCTGCTCCTCCAGGAGCCCTGCTCACGCCCAGCAAGCAGGGAAGGGGCTGGGGCTGCCTGGTGCTGGGCCAGAAGCCGTGGACTGAAGCCTGGGCAAGCGAGCAGCTGGGCGAGCTCGGCGCTCCCAGACTGGGCTCGGGGAAATGTGGGGGGAGGACTGTGCACACAGAAACGGGGGAGAACTGTGCACACTGAAACGGATGGCTGTGCACACTGAAAGAGGGGGGAGGCCTGTGCACACTGAAAGGGGGGAGGACTCTGCACACTGAAACAGGGGGGCCGTGCACACTGAAAGGGGGGAGGACTCTGCACACTGAAACAGGGGGGCCGTGCACACTGAAAGGGGGGAGGACTCTGCACACTGAAACAGGGGGGCCGTGCACACTGAAAGGGGGGAGGACTCTGCACACTGAAACAGGGGGGCCGTGCACACTGAAAGGGGGGAGGACTCTGCACACTGAAACAGGGGGGCCGTGCACACTGAAAGGGGGGAGGACTCTGCACACTGAAACAGGGGGGCCGTGCACACTGAAAGGGGGGAGGACTCTGCACACTGAAACAGGGGGGCCGTGCACACTGAAAGGGGGGAGGACTCTGCACACTGAAACAGGGGGGCCGTGCACACTGAAAGGGGGGAGGACTCTGCACACTGAAACAGGGGGGCCGTGCACACTGAAAGGGGGGAGGACTCTGCACACTGAAACAGGGGGGCCGTGCACACTGAAAGGGGGGAGGACTCTGCACACTGAAACAGGGGGGCCGTGCACACTGAAAGGGGGGAGGACTCTGCACACTGAAACAGGGGGGCCGTGCACACTGAAAGGGGGGAGGACTCTGCACACTGAAACAGGGGGGCCGTGCACACTGAAAGGGGGGAGGACTCTGCACACTGAAACAGGGGGGCCGTGCACACTGAAAGGGGGGAGGACTCTGCACACTGAAACAGGGGGGCCGTGCACACTGAAAGGGGGGAGGACTCTGCACACTGAAACAGGGGGGCCGTGCACACTGAAAGGGGGGAGGACTCTGCACACTGAAACAGGGGGGCCGTGCACACTGAAAGGGGGGAGGACTCTGCACACTGAAACAGGGGGGCCGTGCACACTGAAAGGGGGGAGGACTCTGCACACTGAAACAGGGGGGCCGTGCACACTGAAAGGGGGGAGGACTCTGCACACTGAAACAGGGGGGCCGTGCACACTGAAAGGGGGGAGGACTCTGCACACTGAAACAGGGGGGCCGTGCACACTGAAAGGGGGGAGGACTCTGCACACTGAAACAGGGGGGCCGTGCACACTGAAAGGGGGGAGGACTCTGCACACTGAAACAGGGGGGCCGTGCACACTGAAAGGGGGGAGGACTCTGCACACTGAAACAGGGGGGCCGTGCACACTGAAATGGGGGGACAGTGAACACTGAAATGGGGGGGAGGGTGCACACTGAAACAGGGGTGTGTGTACACAGAAATGGGGGGACAGTGAACACTGAAATGGGGGGAGGACTGTGCACACAGAAACGTAGGGGGCCGTGCGCACAGAAACGGAGGGGGG